TAATAATAAGAAATTAAAAAAAAATAAAAAAAAACCATGTTTTTTAGGATGTTAAGCACCTCTTTATTTTATTCATTCATTTTTTCTTATTTTACCTATCTATTACATCGCTTCTATTTGGCTACACACAATCAAATTTTGAGAGACTTGCAGGATGAGCTTCTTTGGGCAGCTTCATGGCTTTACATTGCCACCAAAAAGGAAAAATATTTCCATTATATCCACGAGCAAGCAATTAGTGCAAGCGTAGATGAGTTCAGCTGGGATCTCAAATATGCAGGAGTTCAAGTCCTTTTATCTGGTGTACGTTCTCTTCTTAATTTACTAGTATTTAATGTCTTTTTTTTTAACATTTCTAAAATAAATATTTTAGAATTTTTATTTCCTTTTTATTTTTTGAAAATGAGCTTTTTCTTCTTCTTTTCCATTTTTTTTAGCCAAAGTGTGTACAGGTTGCAAGAGAAAACTATAGCAACAATAGGTAGAATTGATGTTACCAGGATGACGCCACTCTAGTCCAGTTAAAACTGGTTTGACCGCGAGTCAAAATGGTTTGGCCAAATCTTAGAAAGATTAAAATAAATACAAACAATTGTATCAAATATATAAGAAAAAAGAGTTGCTAACTTTGTTCGGACAGTCAAACCGATTGAAATTGGCAGATCAGATTGGCTAAAACTGATTAAACATTGATTTTAACCAAATCCGATTTTTAAACATTGATTTTTACCAAATCCGATTTTTACTCTGAACCAGACAAATTAAAGCATTAGTTAGAGACTCAATTAATAATACCACTTGGACCGATCTAACGAAGACATAGTGAGGGGACATTTATGTTAGAGAGAGAGAGAGGAAGACCAAGAGAGTGAGAGGAAGACGGATAGAGAGACAGGACACTTATGTTCGAGATCGAGAGAGAGAGAGAGAGAGGGGACATTTATGTTAAGACAGCACATTTAAGTTTTAAGGGGAGAGAGAAACCACACCAAAGAATTAGAGTAATTTACGTTCAGACCTTAAAAAATTTTCTAAAATACGAACTCCTATGTTTATAAGCAAAAATTACAAAGGTCAGTCAACCTGTTATTTTTATTTTATCCAAAATTGTCTTTCGGTTTAAGCATGGAATCCACGGTTTAAATGTTATTTTTATTTTCTAAAGTTTTTTCGTTAGTAGCACTGTGCCTCAAACTTGGTAGAGCCCTACTAATAAAAAAAACTAAAAAAAAAAAAATCAGTCCGAGGATGTCTTTGGAGTGAGAGGCAATTTAAAAAAAAAAAATAAAGTGGTTAGACTAACCTTCTTTGTAATTTCCACCTGAAACATTTCGTATTTAAAAAGAAAATTTATGATCCATACATATAACGCTCAAAGAATTACAATGAGAGAGGAAGGCGAACTAAAGAAAAGAATTACAATGAGACAGAGACTGCACTAACGAATTACAGAGAGAGAGAGAGAGAAACTGCACTAAAGAATTACAATTTTACGTTTTGCATTTTCTACAAGTAGGATGCTATTTTTATACTATAAAATCGATCATATTAAAAAAAGAAGAAGACATTCTGCATTTTCTAACTATTGAGGCGAATAAAAATTTATATCATACCATTTATTTTTTGCAGTTATATTTCTCCGGAGAGGAACCATTTCAAGGCTACAAGAAACAGGCTGATAACTTTGTGTGCTCAGTGCTACCCGACAGTCCTTACAGCCAAATTTATATCTCCCCAGGTTCATTTTCTCTCTTCTTCTTCTTTTTTTTTTCTTTTTTTAATCATTTGTTTTTTTTTTTTAACATATATGTTCCTACTAAAATACATGATTTAGATTACTGCAACCTTATTTTTACTGGTAAGTTTGCCGTTATATATAAGTTTTTCTTTGCATCGGCTTTTATAATGTAACAACCTCACTTGTAGAAGTAGACTTGGCTTTTATAATGTAACAACCTCACTTGTAGAAGTAGACTTGTAATGTTCTACACAGTCAATTTTAGTTGGACTATGCAAATTTGTCATGTCTTTTAAGATAATACTAAAACGTAGTACATCTTTGAAAGCATTACCAGTCCATACTATCAATCTAGAACGGATGGTACAGTTTTATTTCTACAAATAAGGTTGTAGCCTTGTAAGATTTTCGCTTCGTTTATTTGGAAATTTTCACTTATTCATTTAATATTTTCTTTTATTTTTTGTGATTTTACAGGGGGTTTAATTCATATTAGAGATGGGGCAAATACTCAATATGTGACGAGCACAGCGTATTTGTTGAGTGTATACAGTGACCTTCTTACAAGATATAAGCAAAGTGTGACTTGTGGGGACAAAGTGTTCCAGCCGGACCATCTCATGGCTTTTGCAAAGAGACAGGTATTTTTTAAAAATAATTAATAATTCTACAAATTCCATCTAGCAATGGTTAGTGAGAGTAACATATAGTTCTTCAATTTCGATAATTTTCCTTAATAGATTAGCAGCAGCCAAAATATTTCATACTCTCACAAGAGCATCCCTCGGATAAGACCCATTCCATGAATAATTATAGGACCCCATATTTTGGAAATATAACATTTTCGACTGATAGACTAACCTGAATAGACTGAAATAAAATTCCATGTAAAAAATTATAAGTGTTCGGAAAAAATAATGTCTTGAGATTGAATAGAGCGCGTTCAATTTTTTGACAGTAAGAGAGAACTTAAAATTCAAAATTTCTCTTTCGAAAGTAATCATCTAGTGATTTTTAGGTGGATCTCAAATTTCCAGATTGAAAAAATAAAATTCCCAAAGAGGTCATCTGGCCAAGGGAGTAGATGTATAATATGCTACTGCAGAAATGACTAGTCCTCACAAGTGAGAACTTTTTGGAGAAATAATAGGATTTTATGAATCTCCCTCTCATGCAAACTCATACACATAAAGATAAGACTTTGTCTCAAAAGATTCTCTCTCTATCTCATACGCATAAACATGAAGACTCAAAAGATTCTCTCTCTCTCTCTCTATAACCATCTACGCCTGCAAAATGCAGATGGACTACTTGTTGGGCGAGAACCCTGTGGGCATCTCCTACATGGTAGGGTTCGGCCCGAAATCCCCAAGGCAGGCCCACCACCGCGGTTCGTCGGTCCCACCGATGTCCCCACTCAGTGTGATCAGCTGCCCAATATCCTTCATGCAGTGGTTCAACAAAGACACCCCAAACGCTAATGTGCTGACCGGGGCGATCGTCGGTGGGCCCGACCGCTACGACAATTTCGACGACAAGCGATGGGATTCGTCGAAGCTGGAGCCCACCACCTACATCAACTCATTAGCCGTTGGTGTGCTTGCTAAGCTTGCTAATAATCACAATGCTTAGTGTAATCTCATATATTTTTAGAGAGAGAAAGAGAGTTGTGGTCGCCCCCTCCCTCACGTGGTAACATGTGATGTGATTCTTGATTCTCTCTCTATACCACATACGTACATGATTTTTAAGTTTTAAATGTGTGTAGAATATGTGTATATCACACTCTTTCTCTCTCTAACGAGTGACATTGAGGATTGTACTTTTTTTTTTTTTTTGGTTGTTTTTTATTAATCAAGCATGTGGGTGCTCTCTCTCACTCATCCTTGTTCCTTTCTCTCTCTCTCTTAAAATGCCATCTTCTTGATAACGCATGTTGTTTCTTTCTCAATCTTTGATACATGTTCTCTATCTCTCTGGCATGTTCTCTCTCTCTCAGCATGCGGTCTTCTTGTCTGAGCATGTTCTTTCTTTCTGTCTTTGACTATATAGACTCTTTCTCTCTCTGCACATGCTATCTTTTCGACCAAACCCCTGTTCTTTCTCTCTGACGAGACATGCTCTCTCACTCCCTCTCTCATTCTCACTCTCTCACTGTCTCTATAAACATGCTATCTTCTTGATTAAACATGTTCTTTCTTGATCTATCTTTGATACACACTGTCTCTCTCTCTCCATGATGTCTTCTTTCATACATGTTCTCTCTCTCTCTGCATGATGTCTTCTTCAGTAAACTTTTTCTTTCTTGCTCTATCTTTGATACATGCTCTCTCTCTCTCATTTAGGTTCTTGAGACACTGATAAATATGTATCTTTGTATTTTAGTATATCTGTATTGTGTACAAGACTATTAATTTATAGGGTTACAAAGCAATGTATAATCAGTAACCTTCCTATTATATGTATAAAGAGTAGCAAAAAAAATACAGAAGGAAATATTGTACAGAACAAGTTACTATAATTTCACATTCCCCCTCAAACTCAAGATGGTTTGATAGTAACCATGGAGAGTTTGGAGAGAAACTGAGAGAATTGAAGTGCAGTATGTGTTCTTGTGAAAAAATCAACAAGTTGCTCGGAAGAGGCAATATATGGAAGAAAAATGGTGTCTGCCAAAAATTCTTGTCGGACAATGTGATAATCAACTTTAATATGCTTGGTGCATTCATAAAACTGATTTTTAGAAATGTAGATGGCACTCTTATCATCACAGTAAAGTGATGTGGCAGTGGAAACAATAACCCATATCAACAAACAACCATCAAAGCCAAATGATTTTATTTGTAGTTTGTGCCATTGGCCCAGAGGTTACTTATTCTCTTCGTGGCTATTTGTTATCTCAACACAAGTACATCTCAAAAATTGTTTCCCAAGCTCACCTCAGGGATGATACTAAGAGAGTTGATACTCCCACTGACTTGAATATTAAATTTCGTGTAACATATGATGAACTATTGCTTGATCTAACATTTTATCAACAAGTGGTTGGTAAATTGATATATCTTACTATCTCTCGCCCAGATATTACTTATGTTGTGCATCTGGTCAGTCAATTCTTGAATGCTCCTCAGTCTGTTCACTTAGCCGCAGTCTTACGAATCATACTTTATATCAAGGATACTCAACACCAAGATTTGTTTCTCTTCTTCTTCTTCTCTTGAACTTCGAGCATATACAGATTCAAATTTTGTAGGAAACCCAAGTGACCACAAATCAACTCTAGGATTCTGAGTTTTTCACGATGCCTCTCTTTTATATTGGAAAATTAAAAAACAAAAACATATTACTCTATCTACAACAGAAACAGAAACATGACCAAGACGTTGATGCCATAAAATACTACTACCAAAGGCAAATATGACACCGACAGATATTGGTGTTTCCAAATGAAGGGAGTCCAAGTACAAATCACTAGTTTAATTGTCGTCCCAATAACTTTTCTTCTCAAAACCCTCTCGTCCAACGACAAGTCCTTTTGTTTTTATATGCAAAAGTGAACAAGAGTGAGAGGGACCACCGTGAGAACATATTATTTTCATCTTACCACCTTTTTTTTTAGATAATTTTGCATCTCTCTTGCTGTTTATATCAGTCATGTTTATACAAGTATATCTATAATAGAAAAGTCAGATTCCTATCAATGGAAATAACTATACTTTTTTAGCTTTTTTTATGAAAAATGTGATTCATAGAAAAAGACTATTAGGATATATGGATGAAATTGGATGTAAACCACGTGATCCCAATAAGCCAGCTGAATGGAGAGTCAATAATGCTAGAATTATAGCTTGGTTGATAGGAGAGATGAGCTAACTATAAAGAGAGAAAACTGAAGGCGGGTTCTTGTTTATGGGATCTCAATGGTTTCCCAGAAGAAGAATGGTGGTATTGTAGTGAGAGAGAATGTGAGAAAGAGACAGGTTTAAGAGAGGGTGAGAGAAGGCATAGGGAAGAAGAGGAAAAAAATACTCAGAATCAGACGATAGAAGATCTGGACGGTAGTATTCAGATTTGGACGGCAGCGGTATTCAAATATGGATGGCGACGGCATTCAAATACAGGTGATTCAAAGAAACTCAAATCTGGTCGAAGAAACTTAAATCAGTCTGGTCTGAGGGACTTAGATCTGAACGATTGTATTCAGATCTGGATGGCGATATATAGATGCCGGTATTCATATTCGAATTTGGGGAGGGTATTACAAATGGTATTCCAATACCGGCTTTCAGAAGAGTAGATTTCAGAAGAATGGTATTGTAGGACCTCAGAGTGGTATTGCAGGATCTCTAATTCTTTCTCTGATACCATGTAAGAAATATATATCTCTATATTTCAATATATCTGTATTGTATACAAGACCCGTAATTTATAGGGTTACAAAGCAGCATAGAATCAGTAACCTTCCTAATATGAGTATACAGAGTAAGAAGGAAAGTACAAAAGGAAATACTGTACAGAACAAGTTTCTATAATTTCATAGCAACTAGGTTATTACGTTTTAGGTTCAACCATGAAAGAGTAGAACGAATGCAAGAGAAATTAATGCTATGTTAGAATAATTGGTTTTACTCTACCAGCATTTGGCTCATGTTCTTAAATTGGGATCATATGGAACATCGCTAAATATGTATCCCCTCCCTAACCTAATCTGAGAATTTTAAACCTACATTTTGAACTTGATTTGAATGCTTCATGACTATTCCTCAAACGTGAAAACTTTACTCAATTCACTTGGGTTCAATTAGAATTATAAATTTAAAAATGATACCAATTTTATAAAAAAGAAAATGGAAATAGTCAAGCTATTGAAGAGATTTGGTCCGGTCAAAATATCTTTTGACCTCTAACTTAACATACTAGACAAAATTCTAAACAGTAAGAATGAAAATAACAAATATAAAAGTTGACACAAAAACCATGTCCACTTTTTGTTTAGCTATTTTAAATAGTAAATGGCCAGTCAAACTGGCAAAGCTTTTCAATAATTGGTTTTGAGTGATTTTCAATCTAATTCAATTATTTGAACCAGATCGACTAAGGCATCGACTAATAATTCAGCTATCAAACCTGCCAAACCGTCATAATAACTTTGATATAAACATGCAATTGAGGGAAATTTTTCTTTTAAAACTTCCATACAACCAGACAACTCTTTCATAAATACACGTAGTTGCAACTCAAAGTTATGAAAGAAATAGAAAAGCTTGCATAAAAAAGGATGTTAATTGAAAGCTCTCCATAATCAAATTATTAATACCCTGAAAAGACCAAGCAGGAAATTAGAGCTCCAAAAGACTAGGAAACGAGAGGGAAAACTTAAAAACTAAAGTGTAAAGAGGGGGAAATTAGGTTGGGACATGTATATGGTGGACCTGCGTATCCAAATTGTATATCAGATCCGCCAGCAAGTCTCCTACTCAAAGAGTATATTCTAGACACAAAATCTCATCCAAAATCCAAACAAGTTTGATCTACTCCAATATCCATTTGGAACATAAAAATTTACTTTCTAAGCTCAAAAATTATTATTTGGTGGAAGACTTGTACAATCTTTTAGAGGGATTCAATTTGTGGACTGCTTTCTCGATGTGAAATATTTTTAAGGGAAGCCTATCAAAATATAACTAAGACATGGAAATATTGAACTTTTTACCTCTTGTAATTTGATTTCGGAAAGGTTATCCAAATAAATATTGATTATGAGTTGGAATCATTGAAAATAGCCAAATTGTTAATTAGTATATAAGTGTTTCAAAAAAAGTAGTGAACTAGCCTTCCAGATCAGATCGTCTAGTTCCTGATATTTATCCAAAACAGATCACTTGGCTCCCGATAGACGCACCCAGTTCCCTTACAGAATCCAGTGAATTCATGTGGGTCTAAATGAGTCCCAATTCTGGCAAGGAATCGGGGCAGTAGGCCTCGTCCAAAACAACAGTTCCAAATCTAGGCCAACAAATTTTAAGTCAGCAGACGTGCATTTTGATAAATCTCTCATTTATTGGCTTAATGACCATGAGATCACCGGCTCCAAATTTTAAGTTAGCAGACGTGCATTTTGATAAATTTCTCATTTATTGGCTAATGACTATATATGAGATCACCGGTTCCAAAACCACTTCTAAACCAAGAGTTTCAGCTGCAGGTACAAAGAGACAGTTTGTACCTGCTGCGGCCCTCCAAGTCCCTTTCCATAAATAAAAGGTTTTGGATATGGGTGACGGTTTGATGTGACTCAGCACCACGTGACGCCCCACCAAATCCTATCCATCACAGTAAGGGATAGGGTAAGCGTCATCGTGGTCGTCCATCTGGGCATATATCATCGGCCAATGCAGACATGTGGGTCCCACGTTGACCGTGGGCCCCACTTCTCCTCGTCGTATACACGTCAGCGTGCGTTCGTGTGATGACGGATGGTTTTATTCGCACGTTAGTATTTTTCGCCATTTTGTACAAAATTGCCCTTCTTAGTTCAAGGCATTTTTTTATTTTTCTTTTTGCGTTTGACTGAGGGGCATTTTTATCTAAAACGATTAAAAAAATTTGCTTCACGGTAAATACAAAGAAAAAGGAAACCAAGGTTTATGCAAGTGATTTAAAATACACCGGGACGGCCCAGAATTGGCTGCCCGATTGTGTCAATATATATAGGAAATCGCTCAGTTTAGAAGAGAATCGGTAATTTGCTACAGTAAAACAATGTTTTGTTGCATTAAAAATACCGATTCACCAATTCGGATTGATTTTTTTACGTGTTTTTTTGCGGTTCGTTGTTTTTTCTGCCCAATAAAATAGTGATCCGAACTGCTGATTCATCGATCCAAACCGATTTTTGCGATGTTCGATCCGGATCACCGATGCATTTTTTAAATCACCAGTTTTTACTTTTGAGGGTGAAGTAAAACATATCGAGGGGGTTTATGTATATAGGATTGTCTTTAAAAATATCATTTATCTTTTATACACGGAGGTCATAATTGTTCTTGCTTCTTAAATTTAAAAATGGGCAGTTGTAATAGTATTATTGAATAGGCACAGAGTTCTAAAATATAAATTTTTAGATTTAGTCACTCACCCCTAGCCATCCAACATGACATTTAACTTAGGGAATGATTGTGACCTCCATGTATAAAAGATTAAAGATGTCGTTTGTATAGAACCGATGACCTAAACAATCAAATTAGAAGCCACCTTCAAATAATGTTGAGAAATGTAGTTTTAATATTAGAAATATTTGACTAGCCTTAAAATATATTTTCATCTTTAATTTTAAAATTGAAATCGATTTTTTTGTCAAGTCTAAGCAACTTGATGTTAAAATGATCAATTTGATGATATCTAGGCATCAAAACGACCTCTTCTAGTGAAAATTTTGAGGTAGGCTATAATTTGATTGTTTAGAGCCTAGGCTCTATATAAACTTTTCCCAAAGATAAATGGTGTCTTTGTAGACAATCCCTTAGTATATAGAGTTTGATACACAGGGTTTAAGTAATTTCGCAGGATTTTATTGGACTTTAAAGGCGGATATGCTTAACAAAATTACAAGCTAACTTCCTAAATTAGTCTTTTTCAATTTATTACTGCCAATTCCTCATGGATAAATCACATATGGTGGAGACAATAGTAGACAAAAACTAAAATTAGACATAAAGAAGATAGAATTAATAAGTTCCAAGTATATATTTTTTTCATTTTTATGGAGAAAAATATTATAGAGGAACTAAAATTAGACAAAAAAGATAAGTTAATTGAGTACAGAGAATATGTCGGCTCATTTTCTATATTTGTAAAAACTAGTTATTAACAAGATAAGGCAAAATAAGTTAATATGACATTTATCTTATTTTCTATATTTATTAGATATTCTTAATGAGCCAATAGAATAAAAGTACACCCAGTAAAGAAGAAAAAAAACCCGTGGGCCAAGAGGGAAATGCCGTAGTGGGCCCCAAAGTCACCCCGTTGTCTTTCGCTCTATAGACCCCTTCCCATTTTTTCCCTCATTTCTCTCTCTACACACCTCATTATTTTTTTATTTTACCATGTGCTTTTTTTTCCTTTTATGAAATTTATTACTTATTGGGAAAAGTTTATATAAAGTTACAATTTTAAAATGTAGAATCATATATGTGTCCCAAACATCTATCGAAAATATTGTTTTAATATTGAAAAAGCTCTTTAATCGATCATCTCGACATCGAGATACATGAATATAAAAAAAAAAAAAAATTTTAGTCCGAAAATAGTGCATCTTATAACAAATTATCTACACCGTCCATTTTCAAGATTTTCATATATATATATATATATATTTATTTGATTTTCAATACTTTTTCTTTGTTCACGTGTAATTGATATTTTTCCCTACTTTATAGTGTGTATTTGTCTCACTATGCCTTGTTCTCTTCCTAATAATGTGCCCCCTCTCTCTCTCTCGCTCTTTAGGTCACTTCCAATGGGTTTCTTTTTTTTCTTGTGCTTGGACTACCTGCGGGATTAAACTGTTTAAGTACTCCTCAAAAAGATTCGAGGTTGCACCTATGAATTTTGCCTAAAGACTTTGATCTCCCGTGGGAGCATATTGTTTGTTTAATCCATCATAAAGCGCCATGTTTGCCGAGCACGGCGGATATAGTATATTAAACCCATACACTTATTTTAATACAAAATTTTTCCAAATCCCACTATCTAATAACGTCACAAAATAATGTCTCAATATTGAACGGAGTCTACCCAATTTTTTTGACGGTGAGGTCTAAGTGTCAAAAAACCTAATATTGAAAAAAATTGAAAATAATCATTTAATAATTCTTAAATTCCCAAAATTTGAGATTGAAGAAATTTCTCATGTAGATCTTCCACCCGGGGAAGAAGGTGTACAATATTTGTTCTACGGGGCATATTATATTTGGTCATGAACTCTTGTTAACCCAATTGAGAATCACCAAAATATCATTTTCAATCGTAAAAATTAAAATTTGGGTTTTTCAACACTTTAGATCTAACCATCCACAAATTATAGGTCAATATTTATTTTGAACTTTTATAGCTTACAAACAACCAGATTAAAATATGTTCTAAAAAAACCATGATGAAATTTATACTTTTATGGAAATATATATAATGAAGCTATTTATGTTTGATACAAAGTGGTCATAATTGATATTGACTATTGAATATGAAATTAAGTGGTTGTATTTATTTAATTGATCAAGTTCAAAGTTCAAAAAAAAATTTGACAAAATTTAAATAATTAAATTTCACATCGGATAGCTATAAGTATTTATGGCTTTCTTGTGTCAAAAGTGAATGGTCTCATTATATACAATTTTTTTATTTTATTTATTTATATACTAATTTTTTGTTGAGTTAGCGTTAGAACTTAAGGGAGTAACTAAATAGCATGAACCCGCGAGACCGTGAAGCCATATAGTTTTTCTTTACGCTGCATTTCTGCAACTAAACTCAGGTGGGCCACGGTTGACACATGTACAAAATCGCCAACAGGATTACACCACGTTTCGTTACCTGATAATTTACACGTGGCGTTTTCTGATCCGTCAGGATAGGCATAAGGCTGCTCGGGCAGGTTAACCCCCTCAGGATAAGGCTCTCTCCCCCTCTCTCTAAACTGTCTTCGGTTCTTTTTCTCTCTCTACCATCTCTTTCCTTCTCGCTCTCAATTCTCGCCATTTCTTGTTTTTCTCTCAACCCTCCCTCATTCCTTGCATTCTGCTTTCCTCTCTCTCTTCATTCCTTGCATTCTGCTTTCCTCTCTCTCTCTCTCTCTCTCTCTCTCTCTCTCTCTCTCTC